ATCTGCTCTAGTAAATAAAATATTAGGATTTTGATTGCAGAATTTAATTGTGTCTTTATGCATGTGAAGTAATTTTTCTTGTATGTCCGTTTTTTTGTCGTTCTTGTTTAAAAATAATGAAAATTGTGGAATGGCAGCATTACGAATCGAAGTACGATTTCTGATCCCGTTAGAATTGCTTTCTATATCTTTGATGAATTCGTGTATAGCTACTTTTTTATTTAAGTTAACTGGTAGACTAAATTCACCTCCCAATTGTAATAGATTGGTTACATTGGGGGGAATATTTTTATCAGTTAAATTAATAAACCATTTCTGGTTGGTTTGTTGTAAAGGATTATGTGTAGCACAACGAAAACTGTTGGCAGAAACAGTGTTATCAACAATGTTTGTCGATGAAACCGTTGTTTTCAATTCAATAGAATCAATATTTTTAATGTATTCTGTTTCATGCGATTTACGCAGCCATAGGAATTTTTTCTTATGTATGAGATATAATTTTTGGTTGAACAAAGAAAAGGAATTGCAATGGTGATTTAAAATTTCCTGCCAGATATAAGATGGTAAAAGATTTTGGAGAATTTGGAATTGCCTTGATCGTTTTTTATTAAGTGAGTTTAATGTTCTATATAAATCAAAAATCTCTATGTTAAGAATTTCAGTTCTGATGTTATGCAACAAACCACGCATCCTATTTTTTGATTTGTAGTGGTAGAAAACGAATTTATTGTTACAGAAATTACGCAAATGGTTGGGAAACAGACAATATCTCTTACATTCCCTTAAAAATTTCAACTTCGACATTGCTCTAATTATCGCATAATTAAAATTTAGCCAAGATTTAAAATGTTTTAACGTTTTTAGACCAAAACAGTTATAAATAAAACTAGAATTAAACCGATGGTATTTGAACGGGTAATTAGTCCCACGCATTATAAGGCCAGCGTTTATTAAAATTAATTAATGAAAAACTAAAAAGATATGTATACATACATAATTTTTTGATGTATTGCCCAAAGTCAACGTCATAAAAATTAGGACCCTTGAATTACACGAACGCTACGCGCGAAAGACGAAACCTCGGTATCGATTCTGTAACTTTTTCTAAAGTGAAAACGTAAAAAGTGAAAAATTTCTGCTAATCACACATTGATTTTAAAATGAAATCCATGTGCTATTGGCGGAAATTTTTCACTTTTCACGTTTTCACTTTAGAAAAAGTTACAGATTCGATACCCAGTGGGTTTTCAACTTCGTTCTTAGCTGAATAGTACGGATATGAACCATATCACGGAATCGAACCATTTACCCTGCTTTTTACCGAGCGTCACGACGTAGTTTATGTTCACTTTGTCAAGGGGCGCACTAGTACACGAGGCGCAGATCCTGGTGGCCGGCGTTAGCCGTTCTCAGGTTTCTCTCTGGTTTTTCTCTGGCGGCTAGCAGATATTTCACAGTAAAAAAAGCACAAGAAAGGAGAAAGAAGCAAAGGTTCGTTTCAAGCTTGGCTTTAATAAATAATTCTTCTATACATCTGAGTAAGATAATCGAGCAGCATTCAACTGAGGGTGCGTTCCGTTATGCACTGCAAGTACTGGCACTATGACGTCATGCAAGTGTACTGTTGACAGCGTTCCTTTTTAATTTTGTGCACTTTGAAGCTACTGCAAAATAGTAAAACGGAACGCACTACAGTACGCTTTCAGCAGACTTTTAACTAACCTTTTTCGCTAATAATCATCGAGTGAAAAATTGGTGAAATGGATAATACCATTATTGCATTAATTACATATAATTTAATCGAGAATATATATGATTCGAGTGAGTCATCAAGTGAAAGCGATTTGGAAATGGAATTAATAAATGAAATGAGACGACAAATTAAAATACCTAGAATAAAATGTAAAAATTACGTTAAAAATATTGTATCATTATATTCAGATATGGAATTTAAAAGTTAGTTCCATCGTACACATGGAGGTAGCCATCTTGATTACTGCGAGTGCTTTACCTCGCCGGTTGCAGTAATCGCAACAGGAAATAACGTCAAAATTAATGACGTCATATACTCATGATAGTACTTTCGCAGTGCACTGCTATCTATATCGGAACGCTATTGGTAGTACTGCCAGTACTTGCAGTGCATAACCCAAGATGAACGCACCCAAGATGATCTCACAGCAAACTGAAAACTGAAGCACTCAGCATTGTCCATTTATTACACAGTGTTTCTATCACGGCATTTGTTTCTTCTATCAGATAATTTTGTCGCCTTCTACTCAAGAGTGAACATATTTTTTATACGTTCCTTGTGAAATCTTGTTCAAAGAAGCTGAAACAATTCCGATTGTAAGTCCCGTGACAGTTTCACATTTCTATATATTTTCATATTTATTTATTTATTCATATTCTCTTTTTTGTTTCTATTTTTAGTTCTATGTAAAATGTGTGATAACATAAGGAGGAAAAGAGCTAAGCGAAGTTTTGCAGAAGCCTGGCTCAATGATGAACGATTTAAATCTTGGATACGCAAGGTATCATCTGACGATAGCCTTTATCATTGCACAATATGCGACAAAAATATTTCATGCAACACACATATTTTACGACATGTAAATTCTGCATGTCATAAAGAGAATTTGAAAGAAAGTGGATCATTATTAAATAACGTCAATAAAAAATCAAAGAAGAAAATAGTAGAAAGACGTAAATTTAATCTTAAATGGCTAGAGAATAAATTGTTTAAGCCATGGCTACGTGTAGTGCCAAATGACAGATATTCATTTTTTTGCACATTATGTGAAAAATCTATGGTCGGTGGTTTATCGCAAATTTATCGCCACGGGGAATGCAAAGCACACATACAAAATAAAAAACAAATAGAAACAGAGTATGGAAATATGAATGAAAATATGGATGAAAATAGTAATATGAGAGACGAAACACTTTCGTCGTTTGAAGAACGAAAGAAAGCAGCAGAAATTCGATTTGTCGCGTTAATTGCTGATAAGAATATTTCGCATAAAACTGCAAAAGAAATTCTTAGGTTTTTCCAAGAAGTAGAAGATTTTAACATATTGAAAAATATACACATATGAGTCAAACAAAAATATAATATTTGAATATAATGGTCCAGTTGAGACTGTGTGGTCCACAGTATTCAAAATATAAAATTATTTTATTTTTTATTGAAATATAAATCATTTTATTTTATTTTTATTGACAAAGCAGCTGATTTGAAAAATAAGTGGTTTTTTGTTCACAATGTTAATCCTGAAACATTAGATATTCACACAATCAGTTAAATTCATATTAATGTGAAAAATAACAGTGTGTCAAAATTAATTCATACAATTATATGTGAAATGTGAAAACATTCCATTTTTAAATATCATTATTTTATTATGCAACAATGCATCTGACATGATAGAAAAATATTTATTTTCAAAAAAAGTTAAAATTTTGTCAAAATTTATTAAATATTAATTATTCTGCTGCATTGACTGCACATGTGGCCTGTATTAAAATACTGGAATGTTGCAAAGACTTTTTAAGATCATGAATTATGAATAATAATATTATTAAATATCCCAAGCGTGTTATTTAAGAATATAATAAATTTTTTCAGGAACTAAAATGTAAAAGTTTAAAGTTTTTTTGATCGAAATAATTATAAATAAAAAGCAAAGTCAAGAAAATATTTATTTTTATAATGCAAAATCCTGTCATAAATGTATTTTTGCTTTTTTAAAATATATTTTAAATTTTTTTTTTAAATGTGTAATTTTCTAATTAACTTCGAAAACAAAATCTCATTTATTCCAGTTAAATCAATAGGTTTTTTAACAATAGTTTTTAAACACTTTTTGAGACCAGATTTGAGACATTTTTAAAATTGTATGTAATAACTTTCAATATTTTCAGAAAAAATCTTTAAATACCATAAATTTAGCATCAGAATATGACAACTACTTTGACATGAAAGAAAGACACGTAATGGAGAAGTAGGAAAAAATTTTCCAACTTAAGTATCTCAATTTGAAATCTCTTTTGAATGCTGTTAGATCTTTTTCAAATTTGAATGCCAGGAAGAATTTTCTTTCCTATCAGACTTAAAAACAGAAAAACTAAATAAACTTTCTATTTGTATAAATGCTATTTGTGTATTCAAATTCGCACTAAAAAGAAAGAAACCGATTTTATCTATGCAGATTAACATAAATCATTGTCTATTATGTTGTTGGATAAATTATATTTTACTTATCATAAGAAGAGAGTCTTACTATATATGCTGCTGATATTGATGATATTGCTGGTCCATCATTAATAATATGCAATAATAATTGTTGAAAAGAAATAAAAATATCTTGTCCACAAAAAACCACTTGTAAAGGATGTACAAAAATATATTGTCTATAAAAGATAGACATATATAATGTGGTATAATAGGGCTCCAGGCGAAGGTCCACTCTAAAAACCTAATGCGCCATTGGTGTTACCTCCTGGTGGTGAGGAAAAGCACCATTCATTATTTTAAGCCAATGACAAAATATGCTTGGTATACGTCATTGTTGTATATTGTCATTCTGTTACAAATATATATATGTAAAAAAAAATCAATCATGAAACGATTCTTTTCATCTATCTTGTGTACAAATAAATATTAAGCAAAATTATCAAAAATTGAAATATTTAATAAAAATAAATTATTTCGTCGACCAGTCAATCCAGCTAAAATAAAACAACAGTTACTTTTCCTAGCTCTTAAAAAATATTGTATCTTCCACCTTTTCCTCTTAAATTTAAAATGCCATATAATTTTCTCCTGACTTTAGTTTGAATATATTTCTAATTTTTTTGCTTTTATTTCTCTTGCCAAAAGAATTGTTCAAAAGAATAGCCTTAAAGAATCGTCCAAAAAAATACAGGTATAACTACAGGTATACACAATTTATAAAAATTTCTTGTTACAATGACAATAAGAATAATATGAATGATGATTAGGTTTCTCAATAAATATTTTAATACACTGAGACTTTGTTTGGTAACATATCTGTTCAGAGCATGTAGAGCAAAAATATATTTCATTGTGTAAAACAAATTCAAATCAGTTGAGTCTATTAAAAAAAATTTAATCAGTTCTTAGTGAGATTCAATCTAAAGTATTAAATCTAAGGTACTCGCTATTGGGCTATTTGCATATAAATACAGTTTCCGTTTCGCTGTTGTTGACACTATCGTATCTCTTGACAAGTTGAATAGGTCGTATTTTTGCCGCATTTTGTGACATCCTGATAGTAGATTATGTTGATTATGCTGAATTTCTGCTCTTTCTCTGCAATCAATTTCTGATACAGCAATATGCTACTAATGATAAAAAACACTGCTTAATTTTTATTGTATTTCCATCATTATATTGACGAACCATACTATTTAAACCATACTATTTAATAAAGACGCATTTCGAAATTTACTGTAAAATCACTATTGAGTTTGCCACATTGCTGGTACACTGCTAGCATTTTGTTAATTATTCTCATAGCCAGTTGTTCACATTTCTTCAAAGTTTAATTGTCCTTAAGCAAATTATCTGAATCATGCAATTCATTTTCTATTACTTCAATCACACAGGGACGTGGAAACCACCCTCTTATACGTTTCGATCCATCATTTCCTCCCTTTTGTTCTTTTTCTCCAAACAGCCAATATCTGTAAAAAATTGCATTCATTAAAAACTGCATTTATCATACGATAAATTTTATATACATACACATAACAAAGGCACACCATTCACATAAATAAAAGCAGTTTATTATAAAACTAATAGAATTAACAATTTGAAACATACTTTTTCCAACGTGTTACAACCACAATATCATCTACATTCAATTTGATACGCGGTTCATCAGTGCAAGGTGGATGACAAAACACATTACAGCCATATCTAACTGGTAATTTTGATCCTGAAGCAGGTTTTATAACTCTATATTTGCGGGCTCTTTTCCGTTTATCTAGTTTTTGTGCGATTTGCTCCCTCTATAAAAGACGATATGCTAAATTTATATTACATAGTATATAGTATATACAGGATAATTCATTTTTTTAAACAAAAGTTTTTTTACATTGAGGGGGACATAAGATTGTGCCATTGATTTGATCTTGTATAATCATTTGGAGGTCACCTTCAATTTCTTAAATAGAACCTACTATTTTTATTACATATTCTTGTAGCTTATCTCGAAAGCTTTCCAAAACATTATAATAAAGTATTTTCCTCTTAAGTACTCTTTGAGTTATTAAGGTTTAAAGTTAACCATTTTTGACATAAAATGTAAAATATCTGGTAAAATATTCAGATTTTGGTAATCATATCTTAATACTTTTATGTATGGAATTATGACACCAATCAATTGGTGTAAAGAAAATAAGTTGGTTTTAAAAAAAAGTACACAGCTGCATTGCTACAAATTACATACTTTTGTGCAACCGGCGCGCAGAAAGTCGCCCTTTACGCACATGATGGGATTTTAGGAAGAGCTCCCTTTCCACGCACCAGTCACACAAAATATCGTAGTCAACATGTGCGGGGATCGTGCGGATTGTCACACTCGACTTCGCCTTGTGCACCAAACTTCCGCACTCTCGGCCGATTTACGATCCCCCGCACTTGTTAACTAATATACTTTTTTTAAATAATTATTTGATCTCACTATTCTGTGCATAAGTATTAAAGTAAGATTATCGAAAACTGAATATTTTACAAGATATTTTACATTTTATGTAAAAAAAATGGTTAACTTTAAACCTTAATAACTCAAAGAGTACTTAAGAGGAAAATACTTTATTATAATGTTTTGGAAAGCTCTCGAGATAAGCTATAATATGTAATGAAAAATAGTAGATTCCATCTAAAATATTGAAGGTGACCTTTACCGGCTTTCAAATGATTATACAAGGTCAAACTGATGACATCATCTTATGCCTCCTTGAAGTCAAAAAACTTTTATTTGAAACTTTTTTGTATATCTCAGTTTTCGAAATATTTGCCTGGAGCGATTAAAATAAATCACCCTATATAAAATATGTAAAATATTTCCTATATAATTTTATTATATAAATATAACGCATTAATCGTAATAAAATCACCGTTAATGTGTATTGATCACAGCCATCGATAATGGGCCATGTAATGCCATCGCCAACTGGAGTACAATCCCAAGTAAAGATCTGATTAATATTGAAACGCCATCCTTTTGAATATGGATGTACATATTCAGCTTCCATATTATCTCGCCGGCATCGCGCCTTTTCCAAAATCCAATCTTCTATTTCTGTTCGATTTCTCACAATAGCTAACATCTGTGCAATTTAAAGGATGCATAAAATATTTAAATATATTTAAATTTTAAATAAATTAAATTCAAAATAAAATTTAATATATAAAATTTATAAAATTGAGCAAAAAATTAAAAAAATGTTTACATTTAGCTAGAAACTCCAAGAGATGCCAGAATTATTTACCTGAAAGTACAGCAACATTCCCACTGCAAGTACAACTCCGATTGATAAACCAATACTAAATACTACTAATATTAATGTAAAAATTGATGGTGGTGGGAATGGTAATGGCTTCATAGATAATACAGTCGTAACCCAGGAAATTAATATAACAGTGGAGACGCAACAACCACCGACTGCACTTGCTAAAAATGCCGTAAAATGGCCATGATTATAATGTCCAACGCATGTATTTATCCATGGACAATGATGGTCCATTTTCATTACGCAGCGATCACCTAAAAATAAATAATTCAATAAAATAAAAAATTAATAAAAGAGAATTTTAGGATAACAAAGAAAATAATGTGCAAAATTTAAATGTCACAACGAGATTATAAGAGAATTTTCACAATTTAAGTTTATTAAGAATAAATATATTTATCAACGTTTTTTACCATTTGTAAGGCTAATGCAGCAACCGATCGGAAATCACGTCACGTCATAAATTATAAGGATATAATATTTTTAGCTAAGTAAGTATATGTGTTGCTTACAATTAGTATTGTTTTTTTATTAATAAAATATATTTATAGAAAATATCAAAAATTATGATACAAGCAAAATGATGATTCCTGTAAATATAAATCAAATATGTACAATAAAAAATTTTTTATACAAAGCTTTATTTTCAAGAAAATCGACTTTACAGCTCCATCTAGCATGTGCAATTAATTTCAGACTTTATAAATCATACCTTATATATACACACACTACTATTTTTGTTTGTGTTTTGTGTATACAAAATTTTGTGTATTACTTGATAAAAATTAAAAACGTGTAAATTGATAGTTGTAAATTGATAATTGTTTCTAAATACAAACAAAAATAATTGTATGTAGTAAGACTGTTGAATTTTTATTATTAATTTTTGTTATAAAGTATTCAATCGTTTTTCAGTCAATTTTCTCGAAAATAAAATCTTGTAAAAATTACATTTCTGCATTTTTTGTATTTACATAAGGAATCCTCTTCATTTTGCTTGTACTATGATTTCCAATATATCCTGTATATAAGAAAGGATTTATCTTTAATCTTAAATCAGATTATTGATAAGTTAAAAGAGAATATTTATAATAATTATATATGTTATATGAATGCTTACATTTTCTACAATGATGTGATCTTGGTGCCTTATATCCTTGACAGACAACACAATATTGTAAGTATTGTGTATCTGTAATTTTCTCCTAAATGCAAATTACGTTGATAAGTAATAACATAATAACATTAATGTAATAACTTTAATGTAATTTTTATTACTTAAAATAATTTATATGTATATATTTAATATCTGTATTATTTGAAATAGATGCATTTAAAATGTAAATACAAAATATAAAATGCCTTTTTCCATATATTTTTCCACAATTTTCCATTTGAATGATTTTTATTAACAATTTCCTATTTGAAATGAATTTTTCTAGTAAACTAAAAATTAATCAAAATATCAATAATATATAATTAGTACCATGTCTTTATCGTTGGTTCTAATTATGAAACTTTGTAGAAGGAAAAGGGAAGTTCCTCTAGTAAAGTTATTTTTCTGAAAATATGTTCCACTTCTAAAGAGCATTGCTAATCAAAATGTCATTTTAAAAGAATAATTGAATGTCTGTTTCTGTTATATATCTCTCTAAATATAGACAAACATTTTTTGTAATCGCATATGTATTTTTGTAATTTAATGTTTGTAATTCAAATTTATATTTAAAAAAATAAAAATTTGAATATAAGAAATAATAGTAAGAAATATAAATAATAAAAATTAAGAATTTAAATATAAATATAAAAATGTAAGTATTAAAAAAAATTATATTCTCATCTTAAAAACCATTTAAAAAATGCCCATTTTTTATTTGTTACTTTAAATGAATATTTATACAAGATTTTGCATTCTGCATTTTTAAATGGAAAGATTCCAAAATTCCTCTTGCATTTTCTATCGCAAATGAATTTGAACACTCATGTTGTCAAATAACAAATGTATAATAAAGTGACAGAAAATTAGTTTAACAGAACAATTTCTAAAGAATCCCACCTGTGAAAATAAGGGATAGATAGAAAAATTTTGTTAAAAATGTGTAATATATATTACCGGCGTCCATTTTAATGAAAGATATCCAGGACCCTCAAAAATTGCGCTGATGAAATGAAACAAAGTTAATCCACTCAAAGTGAAGAACAATAAAAAACTAGCAGCAGCTGGAATGCTTTCTTGCGGAGACCACCATTGTTTGCTGCAGTGTATTGTCATTAACGTAATTATCTTGATAATTGCTGCAACACAGATCAATATATGAGGCGCTATAAATATTTTCAAATTATTTTCATTATGTCAATTATAATAAATCTTTTAATCAGTGTTTGCTATTATCTTAATAAAATTATATAGATAATCATCTAGGTGAAACTTTAGCGTCATCTTATCTTTATATAGATAATAAAAATATTTAATTAAAATAAGGGCTAAAAATATAAAAATATCTATTATCTATATCTGCATCTTAGATAAAAAAAAGTATTATTTTTACTAAATTATCTAGAATAACTTTCAGATAATTTTGATTTAGATTCATAGCATGTAAAAATACTTAAATAGTAGAACTTAAGCAGTAAGTGATAAAAATTTATAAATAAAAATATGAATATATTTGTCACATATATTTGTATATTCCTTTTCATTATTCCTAATCATTTTTTTTATAATTGTTTACATAAGCAGTCTTAAAAATTATTTAGAAAATTATCTAACCATATAATTTTCTTTTATTATTTATTATTATTTTATTATTTTATATTATTTATTATTATTTAAAATTTTTATCGCTTACTGCTCAAGATGAATTTATATATTTCTCTCATCTAGCTAACTTTAAAATCATCTAAGCACTGCTTATAATAATAAAATTGATCGGAACGACGATGAAAAGCCGGTCTTTTTCTTCTTCTTAATCTTTTTTGACCCAGTCAAGGAGGTTACTTTTGGCCATCAGCGGGTTATAATTCATATTTAAAAACAGAATTGATAACGGGACACGATCAGTGGGTTATACTTTGTAATGATACTAGGACCAGAACGGAACACAAAGAAAAAATTTTTTCAGACGAAATACGTCTGAACGCATCAAAGGACGCAAACGAACTTATGAAAGGCCGGTTGACAGCAGTCCCTTTACCTAAAGCAGAGAGCGGTCCCCAATGACATATCTTCCTCAGTAAACTAATGCACATGTTCTAACCATAGAAAAATGTCGAACGAGAACATGAATTTCAATCGGTCCTCATTCGATTAAATTCTCGTAAACGTCCTGCATTTTATGCCGTCATGACTGCACATTTCCACAGTTTAAAGTGGGGAGCACACACGTTTGCATAGACGCATAAGCGTAAGCATAAGAATCTTGATTGGTCTATAAACGTATGCATAAGAAATTCAACCAATCGAATTTCTTATGCATATGCTCATGCGCTTATGCAAAAGTGTGTGTCACGTCCGGACGATGGTTCCTTTTCTCTTCCTACGCCTAGGCTAGGGAGAAAAGAGGACGCTCTCTATTTTTTCTCTATACCCCAGGGACGCCGAGAGCTAGGATGTTGGAGATCTAGGGGATGGGAAGGCACTAGGATGGGGAATTGGAGTCACTAGTAGGCGTGGCGAAACCTCGTGTAAGATTCTTGAAGTTTTCTAAAATGGAGGTTACTTCGTCGGCGGTTGAATTGTCCGTCATAAAATCACAAACGACGTTAAATAATGCTTTGAATAACAATTTTAGCATAAACTCTTCTATAGTTCTATCGAAAATTACGCAGTTCATTTATAATTTAGAAAAAGGGGTCAAAATTGTCCTCGGGATATCTTATAATTTCTACTCTTAATTTCCCTTTGGGAATATAAAGATTTTCTACGAGGACTGCGAACAAATCGGCATCTATTAATCCTGTAGCTAAGTCAATTAATAGTCCGATAATAATATCGATAATAAAATAAAGACCTATTTTCCTGAGGTTTTGTACAGTCTTATCCGAAAATTTAGGTTTTATTTGAAATAACGAATAGGTAGTTTTATTTCATTTTATTAGGTATTTTATATGAGTATACAAATGTACTTAATTTAATTTTGCAAATAGGCTGTGTATTGGTCTATTTACATATCGTTCTCTGGTAATTGGTCCAGTAGTCTCGTATTTAAAACGATAATTTTTCTTGTGAGGTATCTTCTTTAGGTTTAGATTTCCTGTTTAATTCGAGGTAAGTTAATAGGTCTGAAGCGGCTGCCGGTAGATCTGGAGTGTGACCTTCCGTAGGCTCAGTTTTAATTCTATTAGACGCGAGTGTTAAAGCTGATTGTGAGTTGGTAGAGTTAGTAGAAATGCTAGTCTTCCAGAAGCTGCGCAATATGTATCGAGGAAACGAAATCGTCTCGATTGTTTTGATGCGAGGTTTATTGGCATTCGGTTCGCGTGTTAACCAACGCAGGCACGTGGCTACGTGCTTTGCACGGGTCTTTATGCCGGCTCGATGGTTTCGTTTATTTCGCCGTTCGTTTTTAGCTTTCCGGTTGCTCATCTACAATGGAGTTAGAATGCGTCTAGATCAAAGTATTTATTTGGTTTTATGTAGTAAGGGGAGATAAATGAGTAGTTTTCGGGAGGTGAAGGAAGTTCGATGGTGGGAAATGAGGCAAAATCATCAAGGGCAGAATTGTACTGCTTGATGATTGTAAAAGAATAGATATAGCAGGCGCGAAATAATCAAGAGCAGAACGCAGTGCTCAATGACTATTTAAGCATTGACGAGACAAAAAAAAAGATGCTCGACAATAGAGAAAGAAGGCGCAAAATCATCAAGGGCAGAAGACAAATTTTTTGCATTGCTCGATGATTATAAAAGAATAGAGGAAAAGGCTGAAAATCATCAAGGGCAAAAGACAAATTTTTTTGCACTGCTCGATGATTATAAAAGAATAGAGGAAGAAGGCTGAAAATCATCAAGGGCAGAAGACAAATTTTTGCACTGCTCGACGATTATAAAAGAATAGAGGAAAAAGGCTGAAAATTATCAAGGGCAGAAGACAAATTTTTGCACTACTCGACGATTATAAAAGAATAGAGAAAAGAGGGCACAGGAGAATAATAGTAGGATGATAATAATTATTGATCTAGCGCGACTTCTGAACAGAATTCAGATTCTCATGCAAGTAATATATTAGAGAACTCTTTTGTTAGTGTGAAAGGTACTTACCTTACGTTGGATGAACTTTTATATAGCGTCGCTCTACAGCACGTTCACCTGCCGTCACCCCTTTAGAAGACCTCGGTCGGGATGCGCGTAGTGAAATCAAAAGTACACAGATTCTGATGCTTTAAAGTTTTTTATTGTAACTCTCTTTACTTTACAAACTATGCGCGATCAAGAATTAATGAAGAAAGTCAACGTCGTCGACGGCGAACGCGTGACAAAGTTTCGTACAGAAATTTAAAGTGACACAAAGAGATGCAGTATTTATAGTGTGCCGTAATATGCCGAGTAATTATGCCGCGCAGATGCTGGGACCGCAGGGTTTATATACCCATCGAAATCGGAAAAAGTCTTTGTACCTTGCGCCCTTTGGTGGGGGTTCCTTCGTAAACTGTATCTCGAGATCATCGGTGCAAGTGATATGTGTGAAAAAAAAAGAAGGAGAGCCAATAGAATGTCTAGGAGAGCAATTTATATAATTTATTTTATATTACTTAAAATTAAGAAATAAAATTATAAGGTAGAAAATTGTCGCTAATATATGAGCGAAAGCGCTGAGAATTTCTAAATTATACGATTACAATTCCACGATGTAGTGGCGAGAGTTCGGTTTATTTATTTCGATTACATGATACAATATATGCCTTTTCTCTTAGTTATATTTACGTAAATCTTACCGTAATTTATTTATTATAGATTAGATCTTAAAATCTTAAATTCTTGAAATGTCATTTTTGATGAGATTATTCAATAATCTAGAAGGTAAGGTTTCGTGAATATAATTAACAAGTTAACACCCGATAAAATGGCGTTTCTCAAATTAGGCATCGCTAGAGATTTATGGAATCTTTATAATAACTTTATCAAGGCTAGAGTTTTTATTATAAAGGTGGTTGAAGTATTTTATCGATCATTCAAGTATTCGAAATATTATAATTATATTATATTATTATGTTATGATTCCATAAGTTCTATTGTTTCTTAATCTTGAACATGTTAGTGTTGCATTTATATCCGGTTCAGTTAGACGCACGAATGTACACGTGTGGTTGGAAGTATGTGCTCCGGTATGGTCTAGTGACGCTGTCCGATTGGCTGAGCCGCTTAGTTAGAACTAGGAAGATTCTATATGTTAGTAAAATACGGTTAGTAAAATCGTCCCAATAATTATGAATAATGAATAATAATAGTAATATTGAGAAATACAATTGCATTTCTTAAGTAATTATTCAAAAGGATTTGTAGCGCACAAAAATACGGTTTCGAAAAATGACGGGATGTTACAGTATGCTTCCCGCTTAAAGCTGTTCGCACACACTCTCTGTAAAAGTGCCTATTCACATCGTTTGTCGCTGAAGTAAACAGAGAGAAGTAAAAATGCCTTTTCATAGTGACGCTTGACGCTCATTTTCAGCGTCAAAAAGGTCACGTGATCACGATTGTTGCTAGCGACAATTGAAATCCATGAAAAGGGATATAGCGTCAAATTTTGAAAGATTTTAACCTATTTTATAGTGATAGTAACTGCAGTGACATATATCATACATAAAAATATCCAAATATATTAAAAATTAGAAATGTCGTTTGCGTACAAATATAATACATGGCTTAAAGAATGCAATCATAAATAAAAAGAAGAACTCGCCCTATATATGCATATAATTCTCATATACAGAGTGTCCCAGAATGGGCGAACCACCCGCAAGGTACAAGTAGAGTAGGTTAAACTTTGTCGCGACACCTCTGATCTTGTCGCTCCACTCCAATTATGTTTGTTTGCTATTCGGCACGGGTTTGGGACGTCGCAAAAGATGGAAAATGATTACGCGTTAAGTATAACGAACTCTAACACAACAACGGAATTTATTGTTTATTCACTCTTACATTGATTAACAGAATAAAGTTTAGACTCGCGGGAGCGGAATAGTAGTGCTTAATGCACGACATCGACTCGAATAATCGCTGATGATCCGTCTTACAAACTGTCGCAAAGCGATCTGAATCCTCGAGCATCCCCGTCGTCAGACTACGGGAGCGCGCTTCGAAGATTCACGTGATTAACACGAGAAAGCGGATTCAAATAAATACGATCACGCGGCTATCACAGGACAGAGCCGTGGTTCAAACGCGCTTTATTCAACAAATATAACATCACGCAAAAAAAATGTACATCTGCCTGAACATGCCGCCCGCCTCGTATCCGGAACGGTACGATAAAAATTTTATAATCTAATCTATCGGAAGACGACAAATTTGCGAGATCGGTCTCACGAACTCAGAGTCTTTAGTTTTTATAGTAACAACACGGACATGTCCATCGTCGCCGGGTTGCACAGAGATAACACGCGCAAGAACTCATTTGGAGGGCAGTAACAATTTATTCCGTAAGAGCACGAGTTCTCCTGGTTTAACCTCCGGGAGCGAGCGCATCCACTTCGGTCGTTGCTGCAGGGTGTGCAGGTAGTCGTGGGACCACGCGTTCCAAAAATGTTCGAGCATCGCCCGAATGCGTAAATAGCGTGAAAGTCGGTTTTTCTCTACGTCCATTACGGATTTCTCTGGGATGGTGAGGAGGGGGGCTCCAATAAGAAAATGCCCTGGAGTTAGCGTCGTAAAATCATCGGGATTGTTTGTCATGGCAGAAATCGGTCGGAGTTCAAGCACGCCTCCACCTGACAGAGAAGGGTGGCAAATTCTTCCGTCGAAAGCGTATGCTTGCTCACTACGCGCCTTAAATGATGTTTCATGCTTTTCACCCCCGCCTCTTAAATACCGCCGAAGTGGGGCGCAGCGGGGGGTATGAAGTGCCACGTAGTTCCATCGGTAGCTAAAAGCGAGCCAAACTCAGAATTTTTTATGATTTTCCCGAATGTTTCTGCCAACTCTCTCTCTGCTCCCTGGAAGTTGGTCCCGTTGTCACTGTAGACATCGCTGGGGATGCCACGCCGCGAGACAAAGCGTTTAAATGCTGCGAGAAAAGCTTCGGTAGATAGGTCGGAGACTAACTCAAGGTGTATAGCGCGGATCGCCAAGCAAACGAATATGGACACGTAAGCCTTGTGTGAACGATGTCCTCTCCCCTTTTTCCATAGGACGTCAAATGGTCCCGCATAGTCAATACCCGCGTGTGTGAACGGGCGAGATGACGAGACACGTGAAGCTGGAAGACTTCCCATAATTTGCGTCGGAATTAACGCTCGTTGACGAGCGCACGAGACACAGCGATAAATAGCCGACTTGACTAAGTTTCTTGCTCCGATAATCCAATAGTTCTGTCGGATAAACCGGAGTGTCAATTGTGGACCTCCATGTAACGTCTGTTTGTGAGCATGGTCGATGATTAAGTCACTGATACGATGACGAGGCAAAATAATTGGATGTCGCTCGGAAAATGCAAGAGGGGCCCTTTTTAGCCGCCCGCCGAGACGGATCGTGTCGTTTCTGTCGAGGAATGGCGTTAATTTTATTAGAGAACTTCGAGAAGATATAGGCTGCTTTCGACGCAGTGCCTTATATTCTGATGCGAAAAGACTGAGTTGAGCTTGTTGGCACCAAAAGATGCGTGCCTCGGGCAATTCAGCGGCGGTAAGTCGAACCGAATCGGTGACCGCGGTAATTGACCGTTTCGATCGTGCACAGGCGATAAAACGACGGACATAAGCGGTTACCCGAAGTAGGCGCGTCCACGATGATATTCGATGAGGAAGGTCCTCGAGTGCAAGCGGTTGCGGCACGTCGATGATATGTGAGACAGCAGCCTTGCGAGTTTCGTTGTTGATGCCACGGATAATTTCGTCAGAACTTTTAGGAGTCTGACGGGGCCATAAGGTCGACGACTGAGTCAACCATCTCGGGCCAGACCACCACAGTTCGCAGGACGATAGATCGGTCGGAGCGATGCCGCGGGATGCAATATCCGCGGGATTTGAGTTAGTCGGAACATGGTACCAAGTGGCAGACGGTAGTTCCGACTAAATTTTCGACACTCGATTCGCTACAAACGTCACCCACGTGGAGGGATGTTTTTTAAGCCATTCGAGAACGATTGTCGAATCAGTCCAACAATAGATTGGAATAGTAAAAAGCTGTGTCGTTTCAATAACGTATTGTAGCAACTTGACGAGTAATACGGCACCGTTAAACTCCAAGCGCGGAATAGACAGAGTTTAATTGGCGCCACTTTGGCTTTGGCTCCAATCAGCATGACCTTGACGTCATTTGAGCAAGTAATCCTCATATACACCACGGCACTTATGGCTTTAAGTGATGCGTCAGAAAAACCGTGATATTCGATACAGCTCACCTGTTTGGATTGTCCGGTCCAGCGGGGTATCCGAACTTCGGTGAGAGACCGGAGAGAGTCGCGATACGTTTCTCAACGTATGCTGAGATCCGCGGGAAGCGGCTCATCCCAGCCGCATGTCCTAATCCACAACTCTTGCATTAGGTTCTTAGCAACAATGACTACCGGCGTAGCCCACCCCAGAGGGTCGAAAATTCTGGCGATAACCGAAAGAATCGAGCGCTTGGTCGCTACCGCAGTAGGCGGGAGCGATATGTGGAAGGAGAAGGAATCATCTTGTGGCAACCATGAAATGCCGAGGACCTTGATGTTGTTATCCTCTTCTAAGGAGTGATCCATGTTGATAGCTTGATCATTAGACTGCACATCCTCGAGCATTTCGGTACCGTTGGCCGCCCACTTACGCAGACAGAATCTGCCCGCCGCGAGCATATTGACTAATTGGATTCTCATGGCATTGGCCGTGTCAATATCGTCGGCACCAAATAAAATGTCATCGACATAATTCTCGTGTAGCAGAATGGAACGAGCAAGAGGAAATCGATGACCTTCATCTTCGACCAGCTGGTGCAATACCCGTATCGCGAGGTATGGAGCGGGAACGGTGCCATACGTAACGGTACGTAGACGGTACGACTGGAGAGACGCCTGTGACGACAGTCGCCACAGAATGCGCTGGTAATCGGCCTCCTCGGGATGCACCATTATCTGTCTAAACATTTTCTCAATGTCGGCAAGATATACGTATTTATGTTGTCGCCATCTGCTTAGTATAGACATCAGATTATTCTGCAGCTTGGGCCCTGTATAAAGATGGTCATTGAGGGACGTTTTATTCGATGTAGCACATGACGCGTTAAATACAACCCTCAATTTAGTCGACAAACTTTCGCTCTTCACGACGGGGTGATGCGGTAGGTAGACGACGGGGTCGTGAGACGATTCTGGACCGGTGACCAATTCCATGTGTCCCAGGTCTAGGTACTCCTGAAAAAACGCATCGTATGACGTAGCGAGACTAGCATCGCGCGATAACCGTCTCTCGAGTCTGTCGTACAATCGAGTCGCGATGCAGCGTGAATCTCCAATACGTGGCGGAAATTGTTTAAAGGGAAGGCAAACGATGTATCGCCCGCTCTCATCTCTCGCGTGAGTGTTACAGAAATGATGCTCGCATTTCTCCTCGTCCGCGGTAAAGCTCGGTTTCATGGGAACTTCCTCAGTCTCCCAGAATCGTACGAGAATTTGGTTGAGGTCAACGTCCATAGTATTGACAGTTGCCACGCAAACAGATGCATTGGAATCGATATCACTAGAAGGGCCAGTGACAATCCAACCGAAGATCGTTGACTGGGCCGTGGGACTGCCGAACGGACCTTTTCGAAGGCCATCTAGTAATGTGGCTCCGTAAAGGTCCGCTCCGATTAATATCTGTATCGGAGTCCGATCGGTGGGATCAGCATCAGCGAGGTCAAGTCCTTGTAAATGCGGCCAGTCAGGGACTCGGCTACGTTTCGAAGCACCGTACGACGTGATCCGATTAAACACGTAGGCCGCGACTGGGAGAAAAATGTCGTTCGTTACGCACGGCTCGAGCGAAAGTCGTATCATCGTTTTCGCCGTGCCGGAATATCGTTCGCCGAAACACGTCACGGGCAAAGTCGTCCGTTGGCGGGATGTATGCAGCGATTGAGCCAATGTCTCCGTGATAAACGTATGAGTAGCTCCTTGGTCGAGTAACGCGCGTACTCGTACTATTCGATTTTCGCGGGTACGCAAATTCACCCACGCGGTTGTGAGGAGCACGGTAGAATTTTTCGGTAGACACGTTGACGCAGTGAGCACTGTCGGACTGGCAATTTGTGTTTTTACTACGCTTGCGTCAGCGGAGCGATTGTCGGAAGACGGCGTGCTCTCATTACTCTTGTTATCGCGATGTAAATACGTATGGTGTGCTTTGTCGCATTTAAAGCATTTCTGTGGATTTTTACACGCGCTGACGGAATGACCGAGTCGCAAGCAATTCGTACAACATTTTAACTTTTTTGCTAGGGCGAAACGTTGATCAATGTCCAAGGGGACGAATTGATTGCATCGAAAGAGTAAATGTTTTTCCGAGCAAGCCGGGCATTTCCGGGAATCTTGTACGGACGCGTTATTCGCAGTATGAATTTTCGCCTTAAAGTTACACGACCTTCCGGATACAATATCGCTTGAAGTCGAAGGATTATCGTCGTCGAGACCTCTAATTTGCTTTGAAATAAACTTTAGAAACGTGTCTAATTCAAGAGAATCGTACGAATCCCCCAGTTTCATCTGCCACTCCTAACGAGTGCGAGGAGGCAATTTTTTAGTAAGTAGAAAGATCAAGGGATCGCTCTATTTGTCGACCGGACGCCCGAGGTTTGACAAAGCTTCAATCGCTGATTTCGTTACGTCGCGTAGATTGCGAAGCGCGCTAGCTGATTCGGTTTTTACAATCGGTAGATCAACGATCGCTTGCAAATAAGAATTAATAATCAGACGCGTATTCGCATATTCGTCCGTTAAGGCCTTCTATGCGGGCTCGAAATTATCTTCGGTGATTTTAAAATTACCCAATAAAGCGGCGGCATCGCCCTTAAGCTTGGACATCAAGTAATGCAACCGCGTGACCCCATTTAGTGACGAATTATTTATCACGAGAGTCTCGAACATATCGCGAAAATGAGACCACTTTAAACGGTCACCGGAAAATTCTGGAAGATCAATGCGGCCGAGTTTCATCGCGGAATTGTTCGCAACTGTCGTTTGCACGGAGCTGGTATCACCTGCATGCCCTAGGGTAGAGGGTTTTTCGGAGAGCGTCTCGATGAGATCGGCCATGTAGTCGGAAGCGTCGAGGTACTCCTCCTCGGCGAGGAGGATTGTACCTTGTTTGAAGTAGCCTAATTGCTCCTTTTCTTCCTTGGAGGCCCCTTGAAGGAGCTGGATGTTGACGAGCTGCGCCTTCTCCCACAGTTTCTCCAAGGTACCGAGGCGATGTTTCACCTTGGCGGCCGTGAGATTGCTCGCACCAAGTTTTTTCAAATTTGTCACCGAACGAGAGATTTGTCCGATTAAAACGTCTTGCTGCGTGAGCAGCTCTTTGAGCGTCGCCATAATAATTATTAAAGTTCACTAACTGTACGGCGGTAAATTTCACCGTGTATGTAATTGTTCGCGTCAATCACGACAACTTATTTACTTGCGAAGAAATGCGTGCGCGATAAGAGCAGATTATTCACGTGTAATTACTCTCAAGGTCGCTCGACCCGGCGTGTAACGCGTGTTGTTTACGTGGTATAATTATCACAGCCCTTGGTAGTCCTATGCGCCAAATACACGGCGCGCCAACACCCAATGGAAGGTCAATGTTCACCAATGTGCACTGATTAGATCACGACTCTTTACGACGTCCACGCGCTAAATCCGGCTCGAAGGACCAAAAAATGTCGCGACACCTCCGATCTTGCCGCTTCACTCCAATTATGTTTGTTTGCTATTCGGCACGGGTTTGGGACGTCGCAAAAGATGGAAAATGATTACGCGTTAAGTATAACGAACTCTAACACAACAATGGAATTTATTGATAATACATTATTTACATACAAATTTATTTATTGATATATACATTGATTAACAGAATAAAGTTTAGACTCGCGGGAGCGGAATAGTAGTGCTTAATGCACGAGATCGACTCGAATAATCGCTGATGATCCGTCTTACAGACTGTCGCAAAGCGATCTGAATCCTCGAGCATCCCCGTCGTCAGACCACGGGAGCGCGCTTCGAAGATTCACGTGATTAACACGAGAAAGCGGATTCAAATAAATACGATCACGCGGCTGTCACAGGACAGGGCCGTGGTTCAAACGCGCTTCATTCAACAAATATAACATCACGCAAAAAAAATGTACACCTGCCTGAACAAACTTAATAAAAAAGTCCTGTACCATTTTGCGATTTTCACAATAATTAAGAAAATATTAATTATAAAAGATCAGCCAATTAGCGCCCGGTACGAGCGCGCGGCACAAAGCGATCCTCCCACCGCTTCGTCGGCGCGTCTAGTATCAAGTAACAGTAGGAGGCTTTTCGCGCCGCGCGTTTGTATCTGGTGCTGATTGGCTGATCTTTTATAATTAATATTTCTTTAACTATTGCAAAAATCGCAAAATGGTACAGGACTTTTTTATTCAGTTTAACCTACTCTACCTGTACCTGTACCTTGCGGGTGATTCGCCCATTCTGGGACACTCTGTATAATTACTTGTCTTCTTTTCCTGCAATCGCGTTGCTACTACTTGTTCTTTGTTGTTCGGCATTCTACTTTTTTTAATTATAGTTACTCCATCATCTGCAAAATATGATTTAAAAGCATCTAGCTTTATTTTAAATACAATAATAATAAATTTACTTAATAAAGGATAAAATAAAACGTCTAAGGATCGGTTGTGTACTGTACGTATGTAGTCTTCAAAGCAAGAATGATTTGCAATTTCTGCTTGATCAACGATCGTTCCATATATTCCACATGTTTGTACTAAGGATACATCCTGAAAAATACATAAAATTTAATTAATATTACAAATAATTATATTTATCTCCCCTTTCACCTATTTTAGCAGACTTAGTTATGACTGATCTTGAGACAGAATGTTTAAGCTCTTTACAATTTGACATTTCAGTTTATTATAGGTACGTTGATGATATTTTTGCAATAGTACCACGCAATAAAATTGATAACATTTTGACTACGTTTAATAAATACCATCACCGTTTGCAATTTACGCATGAAACAGAGATAAATAACAAGATTAACTTTCTGGATACATTGGTTTTTAGAAACAATGGTAAACTATTGACTAGTTGGTACCAGAAACCCACCTTCTCTGGTAGATATTTAAACTAACATTCTAACCATCCGTTTAAATACAAAGTTAACACCATTAATAACTTAGTCGACCACGCTATTTTGTTATCGGATAAACGATTTCATAATGAGAACTTACAGATGGTTAAAAAAATCTTGTTGAATAATTGTTTCCCTAGGACGGTCATTGAGTGATATATGTATAAAAGAACATGTTTTTTAGAAAATTCTCATAACGTAGTTGACAAAAATAATGTATTTGATATTTCGTCTTGTATTTTAATGCCGTATGTTAAGAACCTAAGTGAGACTATTGAGAGATCTATTAAGAAAACAGGCTTAAGTGTTATTTATACGATTCCAAAAAAACTAGATACGTTTATTAAACCCCGAAAAGACAAATTACCTAAAGCCGATATGACCGAGATAGTTTATAAAGTTGACTGCAACGACTGTGACGCCACATACATTGGACAAACTAAAAGACACCTTAATACTCGGATTAAAGAACACATGAATAATATAAAAATGCATGTCAGCAACCAAAATGTTATAAGCAAACATAGAAATGATTTTTCGCATGACTTTAAATGGACAAACTTAAATATTTTACATCGAGAAACAAACACTAGGAAAAGAGAGATTGCTGAAATGTTTTTAATAAAAAAATTTAATAACACGATCAACCTACAGAAAGACACAGAGAATTTGAATCCGATCTATGATAGAATAATCAAAGCTGTTTAACTTAGTTCGTCTTTACCATCTATACTGAACATTTTACGTGACACAGTATTTATATTGAAATATGTAAAATGAAAAAAATTAATTATATATTGCACTAAAGATTTTGTAAGGTACGTTTTAATTTGTTATTACAATCTTGGTTTGCGCTTTGCTTTCTTAAAAATCGAAATTCTTGTATGTACATCTATTGTATTTTTTAATGTTAATTTTAGACTTGATAAGGACCTACACCTAAGGTCGAAACGTTGTCTTTTCTTGTATATGGCATCAAACTAATAATAATAAGAATTAATTTAAGCCAGTTGGGTCGTCTCACAGTTATTTTTAATTTTATTTATCACTGGCGATACAAGATACCTACTATTAATTATATTTATATTTTATTTTATATTTATATTTTTAGTGTTATGTTATACAAATATTTCTATTTATTTATTTATTTTAACATTTATATTTTATTTATTTTTTATAAATATATTGTTTTGATTATAAATATTTCTAATCTCAAAATCTTTAACAAAAAATTTTCAGAAATTACTTATCTTCAGAAGTTATATTTCTTACTTATATATATCTGTATGAAATATTACTACTTAAAGATTTAATTGAAAATATTTTACTTCAAAATCCATTTTTGTATTGGGATGCTTAACGACGATTAGCGACGACGCTGGATATTGAACAAATCTTACTTTACTTTTTTGACGCTAGCGTCATAGGGAAATCACGTGACACCTCTTGACGCTCATTTTTAACGTTCCATGAATTTACACAGCTCCATTAACTCACATTTTGCAATTTATCATTTCATCTTACTAGATTTGTTCGCGTCGCATGCCCCAACATGCTCCTTCTTATTTTAATGCGCTTGTATTGGTGCGCTCCTCGAATTGGACCAATGACTAAGTTTACACGGCATCCTTAATCGAATTTAATAACATCCGTAGTTGTAAGACTGGCCAATCACAGTCGTTCCATTCTTCAGGGGAACGACTGTGTCTTACAACTACGGATGTTATTAAACCCGATTAAGGGTGCCGTGTAAACTTAGTCAATACGAGCGCATTAAAGTGAAAAGGAGCAAGTTGGGGCATGCGACGCGAACAAACCTATTATTATATAGAGAAGAAATAAATATTTCCTGCCGATGTTAAGGCCCGTATTTATAGCCTGTTAGCCTATGGCGCTCAGGCCACGTGCGCGTTCTCGCCGATACGCCTTTTGAGTCTCGTATTACTCTGGGGCGCGATTTGTAACGCTGAGGATTAGGACAGCAATAGTTCCACCCACTTTATTAACTCTAACAATAAGTTTATTGCAAAAATACAAAATCTAGCCGCGACTAACTTAATATCACACACGAGGCGTAATCTCTCGTATATTAGGGCGGAATAATAATAATAGGAAGAAGGTTGAGTCAAAGCAACCTGTGTGAGTGTCGATGTCGACCGCTGTCGCCATCTGCGTATTTCCCCGTCTAGGGAATTGGACAAGTGAGCCGCCACAGTACTCCCCCTCTAGTGACTCGCAGTTCGAGTCACGAATTGGATTCTCCGCTCGGATTGTCCATCTCTTTGGCTGGGTAATGCGTCCGATGTTCCTGGCTGCTGATGATCTCCGCCCTCTGGGAGTGGTAGTTCCTCTCTCTCTCTCACTCTCGGTGAAAGCTGGTTTCAGCCTATCGGTGTTTATTTCTTCCGGTCATCCTTTATAGTCGATTCTGTAAAGGTAATCAGAGGTTCTTTCGATTATGCGAAATGGCCCTTCGTAGGGCAACTCCAAGGGTCCTCTGGGGTGGTCCACACGAACGAACACGTGCGTGGCGTCCTCCAGGTCCTTGTGGATGAATGTCTTGATCTTGGCGTGATGAGCTCTCGTCGGTCTTCGTACTTGGCGTATCCGTTCTCTCAACTTTTCCACGAAGATTTGCGGGTATCCGATCGGATCTTAGGTATTCTTCGTAGATGAAGTATTCTCCGGGCAGTTTTAGAGTGCTGCCATAAACTAGCTCCGCCGCTGAGGTTTGGATGTCCTCCTTATAGCTGGTACGAAGGCCCAATAGAACCATTGGTAGGGTATCTACCCAATTCTGCGTCTCATGGCACTTTATCGCTGATTTAAGTGAACGGTGCCATCTCTCGATCATCCCATTTGATTGCAGATGGTAGGCGGTGGTTCTAATCCTCCTGCTTCCAATTAATTTGACTAGGGCGTCGAATAGCGCTGACTCAAACTGCGCTCTTCTATCGGTGATTGTTGTTGGTGATCCATATCGCGAGATCCATGTATTAAAGAACGCGTCGACCACTGTATCCGCTGTACAATCTGCGATTGGCGTTGCTTCTGGCCATCTTGTAGTTCTATCAATCATGGTTAAGCAGTATCGGAACCCTCTTGAAGGAGGAAGTGGTCCCACTACATCTATGTGTATATGTGAGAATCGATTATTAGGTATCAGTATATACTCAGGGTTACGTACATTATGTCTGTGGATCTTAGCTCTCTGGCAGGCTAGGCATGTCTTTGCCCATCGTGCGATGTCCTTCCTCATGCTAGGCCACACGAATTTCTGCGCGATCATCCTCCTCGTGGTGCGGCCGCTCGGGTGTGAAGCTCTGTGCATGACGTTGAATATCTTTCTCCGTAACGATGTCGGAACGTATATTCTAATTTCGTCTGTGACGTCGCAGTAGATGGTCTTGTCTCCATCGTCTAAACAAAGTTTCTTCAAGGTGAGCTCTGTGTTAGACTCGAGTAGCGTCTTTAGCTCTTCATCCTTCCGTTGTTTTTCGTATAATTCGTCCGTTGTTACTACTGTCGGCATGTCAATGGCTTTTACGCGTGACAACGTATCTGCTACCGTGTTCTCCTTCCCAGCGATGTACACAATCTTTGTGGTGATCTCGCTAATGAAGCTCAGCTGCCTCCTCTGTCTCTCGGATGCCTTGTCTAACGGTTTCTGGAATGCGTATTGTAACGGTTTGTGATCCGTTATGATTGTCACCTCGCGTCCTTTCACTATGTGTCTGAAAAATTTCAATGATGAATATATGGCTAGAAGTTCGCGATCGTACGTGCTATACTTTTGCTGCGTTTCGGACAATTTCTTGGAGAAGAAACCTAGCGGTCTCCACGTTTCGCCTTGAAGTTGTTCGAGGACCGCTCCCATCGCCTTGCTGGAAGCGTCCGTTTTAATTGCTAGCTTAGCGTTCTCGAAAGGGTGTGCCAGTAGTGTCGTCTCTGCCAATCGCTTTTTACTCTCATAGAAGGCCTCTTCCGTCTCTGCTGACCAGTCGATGGCTTGTTTGTCTCTTTTCTTCTTACCAATCAGGTATCGGTTGAGCAGCGCTAGAACTTCCGCTGCATTTTTAATGAACCTATGGTAATAGTTTATCATGCCTAAGTATCTTCGTAACTCGGCAGTATTGGTCGGTTTTTTGTATTCAGTAATTGCGGTCACTCTCCTCTCCAGAGATTGTATGCCGTCTTTGGTTACTTTGTATCCTAGGTATTCAATACCTTCTTCCGCGAAATTGCACTTTGCTACGTTGATCGATAAGCCGAACTTCTTCAAGCGTCTGAATATCTCTTCCAGGTGCTGCTTGTGCTCTTCTTCGTCCTTGAATGCTACCAAAACGTCGTCTATGTATGCGTGGCAATATTCCAAACCACGTAACGCTGTATCGATGAATCGTTGAAACGCTTGCGCGGCGTTGCGCAAGCCAAATGGCATTCGATTGAACTCGAACAGCCCAAATGGAGTTGTTACCGCAGTCTTATGCTTATCCTCATCGGCCACTGGTATCTGGAAATACGCTTTAATAAGATTGATTTTGCTGAATATTTTACATCCCGCCAAATGGTACGTGAAGTCTTGGATGTGTGGAAGCGGATACTTGTCCGGGACCGTTACACTATTCAGTCTGCGGAAATCCCCGCACGGTCTCCAACTACCATCTTCCTTTTTGACTAGATGTAGCGGGCTGGCCCATTGTGAAGAAGATGGTTGGCAGATCCCCTGCTTCACCATCATCTCGAATTCCTTCTTCGCTGCTGCATATTTCTCCGGCGCAAGCCTGCGCGGTCGTTCTGCTAGCGGAGGGCCGCTAATCATGATGTGTTTCACCTCATCCGTTGTATTCGACAATGCCGTAGGGCGCGTGATCTTGATGTACTTTCTAAGTAAATCTTTTATTTTACAGCTGCTACTCACAGTTAATACGGAAAGCTGTGCGGCGTGACTGGGGCGTGTGCTGGTGAACAAGGTCGTGTGCTGGTCAACCAGTCGGCGATTCTTCAGATCCGGCAAGAGTCCATAGTGCGCCAGAAAATCGGCTCCAATTATCGGTTGTCTCACGTTGGCTATCACGAAATTCCAGCGAAAAGGTCGTCGTAGGCCGAGATCCAATACCAATGTTCTGCTGCCGTATGTAAATATTTCGGTATTGTTGGCTGCAAATAACCTTAAATCAGTAGGTCGGAGCATACCACGGATTAGATTTCGCGGTATCGCGGAAACGTTCGCTCCGGTATCGATCAGGTAAGTAGTGCCGTTTGTTCTATCGCGAATTTTCAGGCGTGCGCTTCCCAGGTTCCCGCCGACGACCGCCTGGCATCGTGGCGATGGGCTTAGTTTTTCGACTTCTTTTCGTCCTTCCACTCGCATGGGCTTTCGCACTTATAGGCTTTGGCTCCAAATCTGCAGTGATAAAAGCAAAATTTGTTATCTTCCTTGCCGCGAGATTTGCTCCTCAATCGGTCTCTATATCCGCTGCGTCTTCGTGATCTGCTACGCGACCGGCTTCCAATCCGCTTGTTCAATGCCGCCATCTGTTTGGTTAGAGTAACGATCTCGGTGGTAACGATCTTGCTGAGCACTCCTGTCTCAGCGGTGACTGGCTGGACGGCCAACATGGCGGGTTTTGCCATGTCTAGAATTTTGTCAGCCTGGTTGGCTAACCTGCTCAAGTCGCCTACTTCGGATATGGATAAAATGACGCGAACATTTTCGGGGAGTTGCTCGAGAAATATCGTGCGCAGGACCCCATCGGTCACCTGCTCTTCCGCGAGATTACGCATTTTCTGTAGGAGGATGGACGGTTTGTTGTCTCCCAACTCATGCGCGGTTAGTAATTTCCGCAATCGCGAAGCGCTGGTCTCGCCCAATACGGTGGTGAGACGTTTTTTAATTGCCGCGTACCGATCCACTTCCGGTGGAGACGTCACGATATTTGCGACCAAAGGAAGAATAGCCGGGTCTAAATGTAATATTACGTAAACCTGGTTTCGTCGCTTGTAATCCGATGAATGGCAAACGCCGCCTCCATTTGCACGAACCATAGCTGCGGATTCTCTTTCCAGAAAAGTGGTAGCCGCACGGTGTTCGCCTCGATCGCCATGCCTTTTCTCGCGGGGGTGATCGGCAAGCCCGGTGTTCCGCTGTCGAGCGGGCCTTGCAAGTCCTCTGTCTCCGGCGCGTTAGAAGTGTCGTTCGGCCTGTCTGGCGTACGGTCCACTGGCATCCTCTTGGATGTCACTCTGTCCACTAAAAGTCACTTCGTGAAGAAAATGTTACCGGCGATCACGTCGGGGTCACCACTTATGGCGCTCAGGCCACGTGCGCGTTCTCGCCGACACGCCTTTTGAATCTCGTATTACTCTGGGGCGCGATTTGTAATGCTGAGGATTAGGACAGCAATAGTTCCACCCACTTTATTAACTCTAACAATAAGTTTTTTGCAAAAATACAACATCTAGCCGCGATTAACTTAATATCACACACGAGGCGTAATCTCTCGTATATTAGGGCGGAATAATAATAATAGGAAGAAGGTTGAGTCGAAGCGACCTGCGTGAGTGTCGATGTCGACCGCTGTCGCCATCTGCGTATTTCCCCGTTTAGGGAATTGGACAAGTGGGCCGCCACAAGCCTTACATTTATAGAAATAGGCCTTAAATCCTAAGCAATAAACCAAAATCATAATATTCAATTTCTGTAGATGCGGCCTCAATGTGATAATTTTTCGTTTTTAAGATTAATAATAAACCAACAAACGATAAAATTAGATCAATAATCATCAACAAATGATTACGCATCGATTAGACCGTTTTTTAATTAAAAATGAGATTTTTCCGCCTAACTTAATGCTAATTTTTCTTTTTTAATTAAAAAAATGTATATAAACCAACAAACGTTGCAATTGGGCCAACAAACGACCAACAAACGATTAAAAAAAATTTTTTAAGTTGAAGTTGACCGGCTAAGTTAATGGAGCTAATTTGCACCTATATCCGTCTTTTTCTGTTTAATTTTAGCGATTTTGACGAATAACGTCACCATGGTCGCTATTTTGAATTTATGAAAATTTACCAGACGGCATTCGATTTTACGTGAAAAAAGCTAAAATTAAGCCTTAATACGATCCTCTATTCTTAAATGAAAAATGGGCAGCCTAATGTGCCTTTTGACATGAAACGTTCGATATATATAAAATAAATAAATATATATATATATATATAATTATACATATATATAAATACATAAGATACATAAAAATTATTTATATTATTTATTTATTATATAACTTCTTTTTGTTAAATTCGTTTTTAATTGAGTAATATAATTAAAAGGTAAAAATATCGATAAAATAAAAAGTAAAACGATTATAAGAACGTAGATATTTGAGAATCGCGTGACAGAATTTAAAAAAGGTCGAGAGAAGAATTTTACCTTTTTTAAACCGATTATATATGTAAATGTCGCATAAATAACAAATAATGAGAACAGCTATATCTGGTAAAGGTATTTTCGATTTTATTTTTATTTAGAATAATAAAACGCACGTTTTGATATACAAAATGCACAATTATTCGCATCCCTTATAGAAATTTATCACTAGTAACGCCAATTTATCACTCATTTCGAGTAAATAAATTACTGTACTTAAATTACTGTATATTAGTATTTTAAGTACTCGAAATAAGTGATTAATTGACGTTACTAGCAAGGTTGGGTAGGTATAATACGTGAAGTATTATACAATTTTGACATGACATATTATACTATGTATTATATGTGGTTAGTTTTTGACATGTAATTTTTTTTGTATAAAACTTACAAATGGCGCTACATGAGCCAATAATTATTGCAGTCGATGCAGGTGCACCTTTAATTATTGGTAATTTTATGTGTACCCAGCTAACCATTTCTGCAGAGGCAAATGTAAGCAACAACTTTTGTTTTGTAAAATGGCCGCAGATAATAAACATATTTTGTCATTACCACAGATTAATAGACAGATCGCCAAAGGCCTGTTTAAAGAGGAGACCGTCATTTTTGCCCCTTACCGACACACTTTGCCCCTGGTTCGAGCCCAGGCTAATAAAATCCTTTAATTTTACCAAAAAACTTTGCCTCTAGTGCGAGTTCAGGCCAAAATCCTTTGATTATACGTGTAAAATAAAAAGATTTTAGCCTGAACTCGCACCAAAGGCAAAATTTTTTAGTAAAATCAAAGGATTTTATTAGCCTGGACTCGAACCAGGGGCAAAGTGTGTCGGTAAGAGGCAAAAATGACGGTCTCTTTAGACAGGCCTTTGGCAATCTGTCTATTAATATGTGTCATTACAAACACTGTGAGCATAAATTCAGTAAATATTTCCCAACATCTGTTAGCAGACTATATTGACAAAGTGGCAATGAGTAGCAAGCAGATCTGTCGAAAGTGTTGACAACAGATTGATGCCAAAAATGCAGCAGATCCTTCAGATCTAGAATTTTTCTTCGATTTGCTGAGCATTTGGCGCAAATCTGTCCTCAATTTACGATTGATAAATCTGTTCCCAGTCTGTTGCCAATCTGTCGTCGCACTGTTATAGTGATAGATCTGCTCTGGCGTTGCACCCAACTTGATGTTAGGATATACTTTCAACTTTTGATTGCAATTGGAGCGCACTTGAGGACACAGTAGGCCCTGGATTTGCAGCCATATTTGGTCGTATTTTGTTTCCCGATTGTTAACAATTTCCAAGCAAATGGTTAGCTGAGTAGTAATTTATAAATTATAGATTTTGACATTATTAAAATTGTATTAAAAAATAACAATAAATTATGTGAATTATGGTGGGCGACCGCAATATTGTTATTGAAATGTAGGAAATTTTTTAAAAATTAAAAAGGATAAAGCTTTTGCTTTATGTTTATATTGTAACAGAATACTCGCGAATTTATCAACTAAATTAATAAATCACAGGTTAGATAATTATTTTTTAATTAAAAATAAATTAGATTATCTTTTTACAACAAAAAAATTGTTTTATATAGGACTTAGATCATGAAATACTAAATGATAAGATGAGTTCGTTCGGAAAAATGCTGATAAATACGCTCAAAACGCTAAAAGAATGATTCTTGAATCTCATGTATAATACTTTTTTTACGTATAATACGTGCAGTGCCGGATTTACGTATAAACTAGACAAGCTGCAGCTTAGAGCTTCACATTATAAGGGGCCTCCTCGACAAAATATAAAAATTTTTAAATTTTTAATATATTTTTTGTTAATATAAAATTGATATTAAAATAATAAAAATGTATTTTGTCATGGAATATTTTTCTATTTTTTATCAATTATGATATTTATGCTTATATCATCATAAAAAAATTTATTACAATAGTTTCGCGGTCAGCCAAAAAGAAATTATAGTTTTCCTATTTTAGTTAAAATATCGAAAGTAGTTTATTTTGTAACTATGGAGATGATACGTTAATTCCTTCGCAAGAATAGTTGTATAAATAAATATAAAAATATATAAAAAAATACATTTGCATATTATTGTTCGCAGCGCGCGTCCTGTTTTTTTTTTTTTTTTTTTTTCAACTTTGCAAAGAGGGAGAAGGGAGATGCTTGTAGAAAACAAGGGATCTCTTTAAGATCATATAACTTAAGGGCCACAAAAGTGTAAATCCGACCCTGAATAAGTGTATTATACATGTCATGTAGAAAATTGCTCTAACAGCCGAATTACCCAACTCTGGTTACTAGTGATAAATTTCTACAAAAGATATTTATAAATTTTCGTCCAAAATCTTTTTTGAAAGAAAGATTTTGTACGAGAAGTATATATATTTTAATTGATTTTATAATTTTATATGAAACCATCTTATATAAAATTAATTTGTGTGAATCTTTTATCCTTATAAAATATTTCTTGGCTGCTTTCGCAACAAAATCAAAATTAAACTATTATTTCTCAGATGTTGAAAACATTATATAGACGCATTTCCCAAATAATTTTATATGAATTAGTAAAAAAAAAATTTTTTTTAAGGTTTTGTTTACTAACTATTCCCTCACAATTAATTTTCTCTAATTATAAATAAACTATGAGTTTCTAAATTATGCAAACATATTCCTAAATTTGCCCACATAATTCCCAAACGATAGCAGTAATAAAAAATAAAAAATAAATAAAAAATATAAAATTTGTCCAATCGATGTCCACTAAGCGTACTTTAAACTTGATTTCCAAGTGAAATAATTATTTCCCAAACGTTAAAACTATTTATATTATTTATATTTATATATATATATATATATATATATTATTGTTTATATTTTTTATTTTATTAAATTTTTATTACTTTTTTATTCGTGTAAAAATAAAATCGCAAAAATTTTAGTCTCTCTACATAGTTGATTAGTTTTTATTTCCAGTTTTATCATTTTACGTTCAATTCTGTTTACATTGCACCGCGTTATTTCTCTCGACGGTAAACGAACAAGTTGCCACATTTTTAAATCTTCTGATTTAGTAGGATACTTGAAAATCGATCGTTTTATTTTCCACTGATTTCCTTCGATCTGAATGTCTTGTCGATCATTTATCTGCAAGCATGTAATAATTTTTGTCACAAGTAGCAATATTCCGTTTTCGAGAATCACTAGATTATTTGGAGATTTAGTTGTCAAAATGAAACCTTTGTATCTGAGACTTTTTACATCAAATATATTGTCATTTTGGTTCGTTCTTCTTTTAAGAATTTGAATAATCGGTATAATCGACGCTTTCATCGATATTGATGCCAATTCGTGCAATCGTCTACATACTTGTGCTAATGGACGATTGGCATTTCGAAGAAGCGATTTAATCTTCCCGAGAAGGCTTTCGAAAGGCTAAGCTGAAATTTTGCTCAGAATAACACTCATGTTTTGCATATTGTCTGCTAAATGAATAAAATTGTGCGCATTCATAATTTGAGACTGACGCCCATAAATGATACCCATTGTTTTAAAAAAACTTGTTAAATATGTTTTAGCGTGCGCGTTATACATAAATG